GGTTAGATCGGGGGGGGGGGAATTTGACGTACATAGCATTGCTCTGCAAAAGTCAAGTTGGCTGAGTAAGTTAGCTTTTTAATTCTACAAGACTACACTATAATGCTTTAAAATACTTCATTATTCCGAAATTGATCATCATGCCATTAAAACAACTTTTTCTGGGTCATTATTGTCAAAATTATAATTCACCAAAGTGAAAAGATGGAGGCTTAGTGGGCTTAGACACTCATTCTGAACTTACTTACAATTAGACATCTTCACTATGATAGTAAGGAAAAAGATTTTTTAAGGAATATTTTAATGCTCTTTAAAGTTGACATCATTAAAATTATTGAAAAAGATAAATATAAACGTTCTGAATGAATGAAGTAGGAGTAATTGTAACATTTTATCTAAATTATTATATCCATTATCTTTTTAGCGTGCCTTGAATCTTATCCAACAATATGAGAAATTATGTTATCAAAAGATAAATCAAAATTATAAACGTCAAAATGATAACTAATCTGCCAGATAACTGTTTATAAAAAAAGTTGTATTATACTGAAATACCCACCTCCCCAAGTATACCAGAGTAGAGAGACTTGAACACTTCATACAGCCCAAATTTCCCAAGACCTTGAGCAGAATACCCGAAGAACGTCGGCGCCCACCCACGCGCTAATCCCCTCATCCCGTCCGCCTTCAGGGACACCCTGAATCCGTTGATGATGCCGCCATATTTAGCCGGATCTGTCTGAATCCGGCACTTGACCATGTCCAGAGGGACCAGGGCTGTATGGGTTGTCCCGCAGCTAAGGATGCCGCCCCAGCCACACAGGGCGAAGAACTTCAGCGATCCATACTCACAACTGTATGTCTCTACAGGCTCAGCTGATAAACGAATAAAATAGAATAGAATAGAATAGAATAGAATAGAATAGAAAGAACAATAAAATAAAATCTGCCTTTAAAAATTTCATTTTTTTTTTTTTTGCAATTTTGCTGAGAGGTGACAAGGTGAGCATCGCTAAAACGGAGTTCGTCTTTTATTTGCATTTAGCGTATGATATTTCTTGTTCAATTTCTTGTCAGTTTCTTCCTTCATTAAGATTTGGGTAGGAAAATAAAATTGTCAACTGTACACGTATTATAATATAAGGGTACATGGATTGAAAGCGCTCGGTTTCGTCAATAATTTCGCTTGTTTGTTTTCACCCCTTTTTTTAGGGGTGGGGTGGAAGGGAAACTAGGCGCCCCGAAGTTAAGAGGGCGTACGAGGCCAAAATAAGGGCTCAGCACTCCCCCAGGACCCGCCATCAAAATTCCGTCCACAACTCACCCCAGTTCTTAAAATACAGACGTGGAACAGACAGTGCGTACACCTACATCGATCATGTTCTCGTTGAAATGGCAAAGGTAAATGAATACTAGTAGGGATATATACTTAAATCGCACAGGCAGTGTTGAACGTATGCCCAGGCAAGTGCTACAGACCTTACAAGCAGCAGCAGCATAGTTTTCCCAATATTTGCACGAAAATACAGTTTGACATTGCCCAACATGTAGGCCCCTTAACTGTGAGGAAAAAAAAACATTGTCCGAGTCAGGTTTTTATCAAGCTGTATGCTGTAACGATCTCGATATTATGCGTTTTTCGATAGTATTCAGGATCTCTATTCCACAGAGAAATCTCCCCGTCTATAACCTTGCCGCTGACTCTTCCGACCTTGACAACGCGACGGGAATTCCTTAATACCGTTATTCTATTAAAAACGCTGTACTGTTGCTAAAATAGATTCAATGGATAAATTGCGTAACTGGTATCTACCATAAGCCTCACATTACAAGAAACCGCATCATGTTGACATACACTTTTTTCCATGAGGTAAATAAATCACCATGAGATAAATTAACTATAGGATAGAATATTATAAGCGGATGTCTTACCCGAGACTTGTTCTTTAACCGTAACCACCGGAGAGCTCTCAGTGTTTTCTACGCTCTCAGTGGTCTCCGGGGACTCACACTGCGCGTGCCGTATAGGACTGACAAAAGGACTGCTCCTAGCCGTCTCTACGAAGGACTTTATCATTATGAACTGAAATGAGTAGTATTTGTAATTCCTGAATCACGGTAATGAAATCCCCAGTTGGATTGCGTGGTGCTGATGGCACTGGAGTCGGCCTGTATCGTCTACCTTCTTTTGGATAGGCTGGAGACGTCTAGTAAAATGAACGTGTGAATGAGCCTTGTTTTCCAGTTGCCAGACGTACTTTACATTGTACTAAGTCACTGTTCCGTGCTCTCCGCAAACTTTTTTATAACAACGTTAATTTTTAATCCAGTAACTCACCCGCGCTTGCTTTTTTTATATTACTACAAAGTAATGATCCATAAGATGATATTTTGTAATTACACTACATTTAACTTCTTTATCCTTGACTATGTTTCCACATGATCATGAGATGGTCTGACGTCACAGGGAACCAGTTGATTTCATTACTCCAATTTGAAAAATCATCCTCATAACCGTTGCCGAAAATCCCTTACTATTTAGATAGTGACCAACATGCCGAAACAGCCTGTTTTTTTAAAAAAAATAAGCTCCAAGTTATGGGACACAATACTTTGTATAAGCACGCTGTATATATTCCTGTTCCCTGTGAATATTTCAGGACGCTCCAGCTTCATGATCGGAGAAGGTCATCTCTTTTATACAGAAGTTGAACGCTAGGTACCGTGCGTTTGCCTAACTTATGGCGGTTCCAATTAAAATGTGGACTATCGGCCCCCAACGGTCAACAATAAATGATGCACATCTTTCTATTTTATTTATTTATTTTTGAGTGGCAGCATTTACAAATATAATAAATTATGCGTTCTTGGCGGACTTTCCAATACTTTCAAATTTTGGCATCGACAATCTGTTTCTGAGGAGCAATGCTGGGTCTCTTTGTACCTACCACCCACCTTTTTATTGCTGTAAGCCACTACGTTTTGATTTGTAAGCAAATTGCATTTTGCTATACTGCTTTAGTCATTTAGCGTGCAATTTCACATTTAAGCAACAACTGATTAGAATAAAATAAATCCGATTTTTCAAAAGAATTATACCGTAGTAAAAAACCTTTATACTATTTTAAAAAATTACAAACAAGGAGTTTGAAACGGACAAGGATATGATTTATTACATCAGTGGTCAATACCATAAGTTAATATTTCTTTGAATTGTTTGCAAACCATCACACATTATGAACATTTCTACACAAACAAAACGGTTTCTTGCATCCATGTTCTTCGTTTTCATGACTTTATGAAAAAACAACACGAGCCTTTTGGGAATTAGAAACTACCATCGAACTGGTTCTATGTGAGATTACAGAATGAAACAATAACAAAATCCAGGTGCAAAAAAAATGTCAAAACCATGACACATAGGAAGTCAAAATGCAGATTAAATGCTATTGCTAGTCTATCAAGAAACGCAGTATGGAACATTACAAACAGCTGCAAAATGCTGTCATGGTCTTAGGCTTAATGTACACTTTACACGGTCCGGAAGATTTTCTTCTTTTGTTTTCAGTTTCAGACACCAAACAACACAGAAAACACTGGCTCATGGTCGATGTGAATTGCATTATGGTACTATATAGTATGGTAAAGTTGAGTCTGGTCCTCTGTTTGGAATTAAGAAGAGAATTGGGTAAACATGGTCCACGGGTAACTATCACTAGGAACAAGCAGAGTCATACTTAAAGGGTGGTCCCCAGGTAAACAAACGGGATCGAAGAATGAGGGAAGAATGAAAGAATGAATTAAGTTAATAGATAAATAGATTTCCATGAAGTGTGTACAGTAGTCGGCATCCCTTCCCATCAAGTAATGTCAATTTACTAATCTTCCCCAATATATTAATGTCCTAAAGTCCTGGATCATCACAGCTTCCCCTGCGCAGCAAGTTTGGCCTTGAGGCTTTCTGGCATCTCTGGAGGAGGTGGGCGTGGCAGCCTGAAGTACACTTTCACGGAGTCGTAGATGAACCACTGCAGGGCAGTGAGAGTACCAATCATGATGATCCTTGGGAAGAGTCCCTTCCACATGCCTGGAGAAAAAGATAATGTAAATATGAACAAATTAATTTTAATTGTATGAGACTGACTGGGGGGTGGGAATGATGGCAGAAAATATCTGAAGGAGCAAAGAGAAAGAACAAATAAACAAATTGTGGCAACTGTGAAAAAAAAGATAAAAAGGCTTTCTTATGTCTTAATCATCAATACCTTCTACAGTGAAAAACACCACATTATTCGACTCTAATATCTAATCCTTTACCAAAGGAAAAAAAAATCAATTTAGTCACTAAAAACTCTCAGAAAGAATGCATGTCCCCACTAGCAGTCAACTCTTGCCACGTAATGCCTTCAGAGTGTGCGCCATACGTCCAACACACTACATGGGCAGACAAGAGCGCGACTGACCACCAGTGGAGGTATACTGCTCTCACACACTAATGACTCAAGCACTCCAGACAGTACAACCCAGAAAGTTGCTGGGCATGTCTCTGCAAGCCCTGGCAGAGAACTAGCCCCCGGAGTGGATCTAAGGAATGTGTTTACAGTGATGTTAATCATAAGAAAAAAATATTTTTCTCTGGATGTTTTAGTGGTCTTTTTCAATGTGGTCTAGGCAGGCTATATGAAACGAAAATTTTGACATCAGAAGAGAAGTTTTGGCCCTTTAATGCAGACATGAAAATTTAATGACGCACTTGTGTAAAAATAGTTGTTTCAAAATCAATGTTTCACAAAACTTACCTAGCAGGCC